CCCAAAAACTCACTTTTGGACAAGTCTTGGTGCAATTCATGATGGTATGACACTTGAACGCCGAGAACGAGTCGTGCATGCGGTGAAGACGTTCCTGTGCATAGTCGTCTCTCGAGTCGATGACCCAACGGTAGGCCTGCATGAGGACGGCGGGTCCGAGGTACTTGTCGGCGTTCCACCAGTAGGATGGGCAAGAGGTGGAGCAGCACGCGCACAGGATGCACTCGTAGAGGCCGTCCTGGAAGAAATAGAGGTTGGCCGAGTTTTTTTTTTGGAACCTTAGGCCATCAATTTTTAGAGCCAAGAACTCGGAAAAATCGCTCCTAAAGGTGCTAATTCGGCCAGAAAATTTGGTGGCCGTGTTTTCCAGAAAAGAAAACCCATTTTTCGGGCTCTCCTGGCCTATAAAAAGGCTCTCGTATCATTTGTGACCTAGAGAGCCTTTCAAGGCTTAAAAATCGCTGTATCTCGGCTCCTAGATGAGCTAAAAAGTTGGTTTTTGGACAAAAATGTGTAGAATATCATGAGGAACAAGTTGATAGGGAATTCGAAGGTTAAAGACGCCAGACGACGAGACACACTGCGTCTCTAGCCTTCCCAAACTTCAAATGGCTATATCTCGGCTCCCCGTTCTCCGATTTGATTGGTTTTTGGCTCAAAATTTATCAAATTTCAAGTAGCTTGAGAATTAAAGCTTTCCTTTATTGCTGAAAAAAAAAATCATATCAGTGATAAGGCTCACCTCGCACTGATAAGTGGTCTCATCTCTCTTGTATCGCTGTCCATCGTAGATGTTTTGTCCGTTGGCGTCAACACATCCAATACATTGTTTCGTGCACTTTCCGCCTTGAAGTTTGCAATAGAATACGTAGTCTCCGTCCTGGAAAATGTTGAGTTTTGAGAGACAAATTTTCATTCGATCATAATTTTTTAACTTTACATCCTAATCAAGAACTAGTTTTAGACTTGAGTCCAAATCGAAAAATAAGAGCGAAGTTGAACTTAACTCGTTGAGAGCTTTAAAATGAGTATAATCATGACTAGAATCGGTTTACATTGAGAATTGGGGTTAGAGACGCAGTGTGTCTGGTTTCTCTGACTCTCGCGCCTTTGGAAATGACATAACTTTCTTGGTTCCATTTTTAAAAATAATTGTGGGTTTGAATTTAGGAGGTTGAGAGCTTGAAAATGAGTATAAACATGAATAGGTTTGGAGAAAAAATATTTTTTTGGGTCCCGCCACGAAAATTAAATAAAAACATTTTTTTTTCAAAATATGGTCTTGTTTATACTCATTTTGAAGCTAACAATCTGTTGAATTCAAAAATGTTAAAATGTTTCGAATGTGACGAAATCCCGCCAAGTTAGAACTCATCACATAAAATTCCAAAAGAAAGTCAAAAAAAATTTTTTTTCCCATAGCCTTGTTTATACTCATTTTGAAGCTAACAATCTGCTGAATTCAAAAATATTGTTATTTGTCAAATTGGCTGAAATTCCGCAAAGTTAGGACGCATTCAAAAAAAAGTTTTTTTTCCAAAACAGAGTTTTTTCGTTATCTTTTCATCTTTTTTTTTCTGCTATTAATTAGTTCCGTATCTATGACAATATCATCTTTTCGCTATCTATCTCTCAATTCCAAAATGATCCAAAATCATCGAAATACTGGTTTTTTGAACACAGTTCTTCTTCTCTGCAAAAATTGGGCGTCGCCGGTTGGCTAGAAAGTTCGAGAAAAAAAAAGAAAAAAGAATTATGTGTTCACTGATGATTAGAGGAACCGGAAATGATTATTAGATAGATTAAAAAAAACTACCGTATACCTTGTACTGTTGTCCGATGGTGTACTTTTGTCCGTTATGAATACATCCGACACTGCACATTTGGACGACTCCAGAAGTTTTTTGTTGGCATTTGTATCTGAAACACATGTTTGTTTGAAAGATCATTAAAAATCCTACAAATTCGTCAAAAAATCATACTTCCAGGCCGTCTATAAGCCGAGATACATCGATTTGAAGTTTTTGGAGGCTAGAGACGCAGTGCGCCTTTAGAAATGGCATAACTTTCTTAGTTTTTGTCCACATTAAAAAATGTTTTTGGATTTGAACTGGGCATGAAAAGAGCTTCAAAATAAGTATAAACATGACTAGGTTCCTTTAAAATCGAAATTTGACTTTAAAGGCGCATGAGGGGTCCAAAATTTGAACATCAAGGAAAGTAGATCATGATTATACTCATTTTGAAGCTCTCAAAACGAGGATTTCAAAAATTATGATATAAAATGATTCTAGCTCGACTGCAGGCCGAACGGACTACAAACGGACCAAAAACGACCCAAAAACGGGTCAAAAACAGGTGGACCCATAACTTCCTTCAGAATTTTAATTTTTCCATGAAATAAAATGGATATGATAGGAAAATTTGGGAGCTACAAAATGCATTTTTTTTTGGGTTCCGCCGCGAAAATAGTAAGCTAACAGTTTGCTGAATTTAAAACCAGGATTCTTAATTTTGAAATATGTCGAAATCCCGCCAGGTTAGGACCCATCTGATTCAGTTGGCTTTACGGTCCCAAAATCCTGAAAAATCCAAAGTTCGATCTTCTTTTTTTTTTGGCGCCAGACAAATCTTTTGATCCCCGCGAGATCATAAAAGATTTGTACTTTTCCCGAACAAACGACCTCGATTTTTGTTATCTTTACGCGAAAAGTTGTAAAATGTGTGAATTTCGACGAAAACTTTGGAAAAAACTGGATTTTATGGGATTAGGAGAGATATAAGAAATGAAAGAAAGGATACGGTAGATATGGGAAAGGCCGGAAGTGATAGAAGAGTCTGCACTTTTTTCGTGTTTTGAAGATATTCGAAATGATGGAAATTATAGGGATATCACTTTTAGCAGCAGACAAGCAAGCGGTAACTTAAAGTTTTGTATTATGTGCTATGTATCATTTTATAGAACTTCTCAAGATCTACATTTTCCAATTTGATTTGTTTCAAAATATTGAGTTTGAAAGAAGTTACAGGCTTATAACGCGACTAACACTTAAAGAGCGACATTCTATAACATATGTCGCGAAGATCAGGCAAGCTATAACTTTGATTACTACATTGAGATTTTTATTTCATTTTGTAGAACTTTTCCAAAACTACAATTTCCAATTTAAACCGCTCAAAAATCTTGAGTTTGAAGTGACTTATAGGCTCTAAACCAATTTAAACCAAATAGGCACCCCCCGCTTATCACTAGAACTAAAGATCCAAACTAATCTGTCACTTTCCATCTGTCCCTATCATCATCACTTTGATCCAAACCGTTTTCTCTCTTTTTTTGCCCCTCTCATTCTTTAGTCTTTACACTAAATATCGCAAGACCATCCGTTCTCTGAATGGCCTGGGTGGCCTTCAAAATCGACCATCTGTCACCTATCATTTACACGTCTTCTGGCCGACGCCGCCGTGTCGGCAAAAATAAGAAAAGGTGATAAGCTACTGATAAAGTTGTAGGACAGATTAACTCACGTGTATCCGTTGAAATCGTCGGTTTCGCCGAGTGGAACTCTGCGTTGTTTGTCGTGCGCGATGCATCCCTCGATGGTCGTCTTCACGACGCGTCCGTCGTCACGGCAGCGGTAGTAGTAGGTGTTCTGAAACAATTTGTTAATTGTTTCAAAGTTGAAGACGTGAGAATTCTGAATCAGTTTGCGGATTTTGAAGCGCACTAAAATGAGCCGAGTTATGCGCCTTTAAAGTTACATAGAATTTCGACGTCAATTTTTGACTATGGATGTTCACAACGGCGTAACTTGCACTTTTTACAGAATCCAAATATAAATTTTATATCATTCAAAACCTTGAATTTTAAGAATTCCAAATCTGTTTTTAAAATTCAACTCAGACAAAAATGAGCCGAGTTATGCGACTTTAAAGCTAGATGGTGCTCTTTTAATGAGGCTCCAAACAAGTCGCTCAAATTCAAGTTACTGTAACTTTCTTCAAACTCAAAATTTGTAAACAGTCTAAATTGGAAATTGTAAATCTTAAATAGTTCTACAAAATGATATAAAATTTCAAACAATTTGAAATTACCACCTCCGAGAAAAATGCACCTAAACTGCCTAACAGCCTAATTATAAGGATCACACCTAAGTCGCCCAAGCTCAAGACTTTTTTAGAGAGGTTATGTATGAATTGTACACTGTTCAAAAGCCCAAAACATGAGCATTCCAAAAATGTTTTCAGATTTCAAAATGGACAAAAATGAGCCGAGTTATGTGCCTTTAAATTTACACATTGAAAGATCCCAAGAAGTTTCTAGAACTCAAAAAAAATCTAGATTTTTTATGATCTCAAGTCAGAAATTGTGTCCTCTTGGCACAGACAAATTATGATTTGTTTGGAGATTTCAAAAAAAAAACAAAATGTTTTCAGTTCCTTTTTTGGCAACACTCCTAATTAGATGATGTAGTCTAGGCAGTGAAAGGTGAAAATTAGGTCAAATGGGTTTCGATCGATTTGGAATCTTAAACATCACCAACAGTTTAATGGGTTTTATATCGTTTTGTAGAACTTTCAAAGATCTATAATTTCCAATTTAGTTTGTCCAAAAATTTCAGGTTTGAAGAAAGTTACAAGCCTACACGACTGTGTGACGCAACCCCACGCTCTGGGGGGTGGGGGGAGGGGGTCATTTTTAGCAACTCGCCAGAAAGCGAAGATTCGAGTTTTAGTATTATGTGTTGTATACAATTTTGTAGTCCTTTTCAAGACCTACAATTTACAAATTACATTGTTTAATAATTTTTAGTTTGAAGAAAGTTACAAGCTATTGAAATATAGTGATCCTAGCAATTAGGCAGGTTTACTGCTTGCCTTGTTTAGGTGACTCCTTCTCAACATTGGTGACTTTGAATGCGTTAGAGTTGTATATTATTTTGTAGCACTTTTCAAGATCTACAATTTCCATTTTAGTTTGTCGAAAAATATCAAAATTCCAAAAAGTTATAGTTGTTTTACAAACATGACCACCGGAAGTCATTTATCTTTTTTTTGCAACTTTCACAACTTCTCTCTCTCTCTCTCTCTCTCTCTCACCTTGGCATCCGTCCAAGTTTCTCCCTTCTGATAAGTACGTCCATCTTGTCCAACACATGCGCTGTAGCCGAATTCAATGTAACCGTCGCTTCCTAAAAAATAGAGAAATCGTAAAAAAGAGAGAAGATTTGATTTTCGTTTTTTGCTTTCGAGAAGATGATCTGATAAGATGAATCTGATTGGATGATACTAAGAGTTTTTTGAAGAAAAATAAAGTTGGGGAGAATTGGAAAAAAAGTTGCCCAACTTCGAAAAAATTGATCTTCAAAAAAATTTTTTTTGGGATCAAACATTTTTTTTCCAAAACATCTTCATGTTTAGGCTCATTTCAATGCTCTAATTTCAGGGAAATTAAGTTTGACACTTAAAATTAAAAAATAGAGATTTCCAGCTTTAAAATAAGCCTAAACACGGCCGTATTTTAAAAATTTGAAATATCAGATTTTTTCAAAAACTGAAAATACAAGATTTCAGCTTCAAAATGAGCTCAAACAAGACTATATTTGAGAGAAAAAGTTTTTCAAAATTTTCAGACAGATTTTTTTTTCTGAAATTTCCAATTTTTTGAAACATATAGCCTCGTTTAGACTCATTTTGAAGCTATTAATCTGAGAAAATTAAATTTGAGGCTCAAATTGTAAAAATACACACGGCTAGCTTTAAAACGAGCTTAAACAAGGCTATACTTTGCGAATTTTGAAATTTTTCGAAAAAAAAATTAGTTTTCTGAAAATTGTAAGAATTTTTTTTCGAAATATCGTCATGTTCAGGCTCATTTTGAAGCTTAAGATCTCCTCAATCTGAATTTCAAACTAAAGTTTCAAAAAATTCATGTTTCTAGCTTCAAAATGAGCCTAAACACGGATGTATCGGATGTAAAATTAAGTTTCCTGAAAATTTTAAGAATTTTTTTCGAAATGTGGCCGTGTTTAGGCTCATTTCAAAGCTCCAATTTTCGGGAAATCAAATCTGACACTTAAAATTAAAAATAGAGACTTCCAGCTACAAAATAAGCCTAAACACGGCCGTATTTTAAAAATTTGAAATTTCAGAAAACGTTTTTTTTTTTTGAAAATTTAAATTTTTTTTGAAAATTTCTAGCCATGTTTAGACTCATTTTCAAGCTTAAAACCTTCCAAGTTTGAATTTGAATTTTGAATTTCAAAAAATGCATGTTTTTAGCTTCAAAATGAGCCTAAACACGGATGTATTTGGAAAATTTTGAAAATTCAGAAAATATTTTTTTTTGAAATATTGTCATGTTTAGATTCATTTTAAAGCTTAAAACTTCCCAAATTTGAATTTTAATTATAAATTTCGAAAAATGCATGTTTCTAGCTTCAAAATGAGCCTAAACATAACGGTATTCTGAAAGCTATAAAATTTCAGAAAAAAAATCTGAAACTTTGTTTTTTTGGGAAATTTCCATGTTTGGGCTCATTTTGAAGCTGAAAACCCGTCAAATTCGAATTTCCAAAAATCCCACTCACCCAGCTGACAGGTAAACTCATATCCGTCTTGTTGGAATGTGGACCCAATTCGAACTTTTTGCTCCACATTGCTCAGACATCCCAGTGGCTCCAGTTGTCCCCGTCGGCATTCGTAGAAAAATTTGCCACGTGTAATCTCCGCGCCCTCGGACCACCATTGAGCCGGTCGACCGTTTCCGGATGTCCAACATCTGCAAAATTTCGAAATTTTAGGAAAAAAAAAGCCAAAAAAGTTCAAAGAAGGTTCTCGGGGACGAAAACCGGTTTTTGTCTTGTTCCTATTGATATCAATTGGTTTCGGTTTCTTTAATGGACAGTAATACATTGCTATTAGCCGTGTACCAGGTTACATGGACACTGGTGATAAGACGAAGAATACAAGGGATGTATTTGTAAACTTTTGGCAAAGGTTAAAATGCTCATAACTTTTGAAGATTATGTCCAAATCGAAAAATAAGAGCGAAGTTGAACTTAACTCGTTGAGAGCTTTAAAATGAGTATAAACATGCCTAGAATCGGTATACATGGAGAATTGGGGTTAGAGACGCAGTGTGTCTGGTTTCTCTGACTCTCGCGCTTTTAGAAACGGTATAACTTTCTTAGTTTTTGCCCGAATCAAAAAATAAATGCAGATTTGCGTTTGTCATAAAAAGAGCTTCAAAATGAGTATAAACATGACCAAGATTGGAGAAAAAAAAATGTTTTGGGTCCCACCACGAAAATTTTTCAAAAATAAATATTTGCAAATATGGTCTTGTTTATACTCATTTTGAAGCTCGAAACCGGGCTAATTGAAATTTTCAATTTATAAAAATGTAGAACGCGCCCAAAAAAAACTTAGACAGCGTTTTCAAAAAAAAAAAAATTTCAAAAAAAAATTTTTTTTTCGAAAATCAAAATTTCTCAAACATCGTCATGTTTATACTCATTTTAAAGCGCAAAATCTCCTAAATCTAACCCAAGCCCCCATTTTCGATAAAAACCAACCTGGACCTCGCGGCACCGGAATCCGCATTCACAGTCAGCGAAAGAATAGCGATGATGGGTAGAATCAAGACGTTCTGCGTCATTTTCATCAGATTTCTTTTTCGAATTTCCGTAGTTTCCGTTTTCCATTTTATATGGCTCGTCTAGGCTCCGCCCACTTCCTCTTTTTTCGAAAAAGACAAGATGGTCAAGACAAGGAAGAGAGATAGAGAGACTTCGACAGAGAATGGACGGAAAAGTGGGCGGAGCTTAAATGTAGTAAAAGGGATATGTGTGTTTGTATTTTGAAAAGGAGAAGAAGAAGAAGAAGAGGAATAAGATATACATCATTTTGGCGGTTTAAAAATAAATTATGACAAGTTTGTGGGGGGCGAGAGGAACACCTCCAGATCTTCATCTGGAGAAAAAAGAGGAAACGGAAAAAAAAGAGAAAGTTCGGTTTTTTCAGGAAATGGATATTCTAGTTTTGTTCGCCGGGATTTGTTTATTTGGTGTTCTGGGAATAGTGATCGGAACGGTTTTTTTTTCAGGAAAAATAAACCAAAACTACAGTAATCCGGACAGAACTTTTTTAAACAAAAAACATTTAAATATTTAGATTTTCGTTTTCCAGAAATTTAGGGGAATTCGGAATTTCAGATTTTGAAATTACAGAAATCAGATTTTCTGGATGTTTAGGATTACCTGAAATTTCAGAAATTCAGGATTTTTTCAGAATTTAGATTTTCAGATTTTCAGGATTCCTGAATTTCTGAATTACTGAATTTCAAAATTTCAGACTTTCAAAATTAACAAATTAAGATTTTTAGACCTTTTCAGAATTTCTCAGAATCTTAGAATCTCAGAATCTCAGAATCTAAGAATCTCAGAATCTCAGAATCTTATAATCTCAGAATCTCAGAATTTCAGAATCTCAGAATTTCAGAATCTCATAATCTCAGAATCTCAGAATTTCAGAATCTCAGAATCTCAGAATCTCAGAATCTCATAATCTCAGAATCTCAGAATCTCAGAAACTCAGAATCTCAGAATCTCAGAATCTGAAAATCTCAGAAACTCAGAATCTCAGAATTGCAGAATTTCAGAATCTCAGAATCTCAGAAACTCAGAATCTCAGAATCTCAGAATCTCAGGATCTCAGAATCTCAGAAACTCAGAATCTCAGAATTTCAGAATCTCAGAATTTCAGAATCTCATAATCTCAGAATCTCAGAATTTCAGAATCTCAGAATCTCAGAATCTCAGAATCTCATAATCTCAGAATCTCAGAATTTCAGAACCTCAGAATCTCAGAATTTCAGAATCTCAGAATTTCAGAATCTCATAATCTCAGAATCTCAGAATTTCAGAATCTCAGAATCTCAGAATCTCAGAATCTCAGAATCTCAGAATCTCAGAAACTCAGAATCTCAGAATCTCAGAATCTGAAAATCTCAGAATCTCAGAAACTCAGAATTGCAGAATCTCAGAATCTCAGAATCTGAAAATCTCAGAAACTCAGAATCTCAGAATTGCAGAATTTCAGAATCTCAGAATCTCAGAAACTCAGAATCTCAGAATCTCAGAATCTCAGGATCTCAGAATCTCAGGATCTCAGAATCTCAGAAACTCAGAATCTCAGAATTTCAGAATCTCAGAATTTCAGAATCTCATAATCTCAGAATCTCAGAATCTCAGAATCTCAGAATCTCAGAATCTCAGAATCTCATAATCTCAGAATCTCAGAATTTCAGAACCTCAGAATCTCAGAATTTCAGAATCTCAGAATTTCAGAATCTCATAATCTCAGAATCTCAGAATTTCAGAATCTCAGAATCTCAGAATCTCAGAATCTCAGAATCTCAGAATCTCAGAAACTCAGAATCTCAGAATCTCAGAATCTGAAAATCTCAGAATCTCAGAAACTCAGAATCTCAGAATTGCAGAATTTCAGAATCTCAGAATCTCAGAAACTCAGAATCTCAGAATCTCAGAATCTGAAAATCTCAGAATCTCAGAAACTCAGAATCTCAGAATTGCAGAATTTCAGAATCTCAGTATCTCAGAATCTCAGAATCTCAGAATTTCAGAATCTCAGAATTGCAGAATCTTAGAATCTCAGCATCTCAGAACTTCAGAATCTCAGAATCTCAGAAAATCAGAATCTCAGAAACTCAGAATCGAATTTTCCTGGTTATTCAGATTTTTTTTCAGAATACAGATTTTCTGGAAATCGGATTTTTGAGTTCCCAAATTTGTTTTCGAATTTTTGGAATTTCTAAATTTCCAATTTCCTGGTTTTCCAACTTTTTCGAAATTCAAAATTTTCTATTTTTGTAATTTTCGAGATTTCGAATTTTTCAGATTTCTGATTTTCGAAAATTCTGAACATTGAGACTTTGGATTGTTCCGAATTGAAGCTTCTCCTGATTTTTCAAATTTCCGAAAAAAACCAATTGTTTCAATTTTTAATGATATCCAATTAAAGGGGGACTCCGACCAAAAATTTTTATTGCATTAAAATGTGTTAAAAGTTATCTGTTCTTCAAATATTATTGCGAAAAAATTCAAAAAAAATCTGAAATCTCCGAAAAACGCCTTGAAAAGGAAGAAAATTTTAAAAAAAGTGCCGCCGGGGGACGAGGATTTTCAGTGAGAAAACTAAGCCACGGCACCTGACAGCCTTTTTTTCAGTCGCCGACAGTGGTTTTTTACGTTTTTTTTACCTGCCGGACATGAAATTGAAAAAAATCCGAAAAATTTGCCACGTAGGAAAGGCACCCGCTGCCGTGGCCTAGGTTTCTCACTGAAAATCCTCGTCCCCCGGCGGCACCTTTTTTTTAAAATTTTCTTCCTTTTCAACGCCGTTTTTTGGGAATTTCGGATTTTTTTTGAATTTTTTCGCAATAATATTCGGAAAATAGATAACTTTTAACACATTGTAATGCAATAAAAATTTTTGGTCGGAGTCCCCCTTTAATGATTATGAAAAAACACAATAGTTTACACTTTTCCATCTTGATTGATGCCTATTTTTTTGTTTGTTTTTTCTTCCATTGTTTTTCGTTTCCTGCAAAATTGACACTCCGAAAAAAGTCAAGAAGAAGAAGAAAAAGAAGACGTCGTGTTCTCTGACGTCTTCTTCGTTTTCTTCTTTTGATATTTCTTCAAAGAAATCGAAATTCGTCAGTTCAACTGACACCTACACACAGAACACATTGATTTGTCATGGTTTAGGTGGGCAGCACCGAGGAGGCGGCAATTTGAAATTTTGCGTGGGAAAAATGGGTTTTGCGGAATGCGGGTCAATTATACTGTACCGGAAATTTGGAAATTTGAAAATGTAGATATTCCCAAAAGAGTGGAAAATAGTCATCTTTAAAGCGTTCAAAAAACGGAACATCTTCAATTTTTTTGGAAAATTCATTTTTTGGGATTTTTGAGTTTTAACTTTATTTTAAAGTTCTTAATTTCAGATTTTAGGAATTTCTGATTTTTTAAGGATATTTAGGATTTTTTCGGATTTTCAGAATTCTCGAAAATTTGGATTTTTTCGAAAATTGCTGAATTTTTAAACATTTTTGGGATTTTCCAGATTTTAATAACGAATTTTGGGAAATTATAATTTTTTTTTGGGGTTCAGAATAAATTCGAAAAATCCGAAAAATCTAGAATTTGAAAATCAGAAATCCTGAAATTTAGAAAATCTTAAAAATCTGAACTTAGAATCTCAGAATTTCAGAATCTCAAAATCTCAGAATCTCAGAATCTTAGAATTTCAGAATTTCAGAATTTCTGAATTTCAGAATTTCTGAATTTCTGAATTTCAGAAATTCAGTAATTCATTTTTTGGGATTTTTGAGTTTTAACTTTATTTTAAAGTTATTAATTTCAGAATCTAGGAATTTCTGATTTTCTTAGGATTTTTTCGGATTTTCAGAATTTTTGAAAATTTGGATTTTTTCGAAAATTGCTGAATTTTTAAACATTTTTGGGATTTTCCAGATTTTAATAACGAATTTTGGGAAATTATAATTTTTTTTTGGGGTTCAGAATATATTCGAAAAAACCGAAAAATCTAGAATTTGAAAAGCAGAAATCCTGAAATTTAGAAAATCTTAAAAATCTGAACTTGACAAATTTATAAATTCACGAATAAGAAAATCATTCCAAAATCCAGACTTCAAAAAATTTCAAAAAATGAAAAAGTTTCTAAAAAATTGAGAATTGAAAATCTGGAATTCCAGAAAAACCAAAATATCGAAAACTAATAGATTAATTTTTGGAATTTAGATTTTTTTAATGATTGAAAGTTAAAAAGAAAATTATAATTGAGCTCATTTTGAAGCTCTGGGTCTTGAAAATTCGAAAGTTTTCCCTATATTTGGAGTTCCCAAACAGAATTTCAGAATTTCTGAATTTCTGAATTTCTGAATTTGATGGTCATGTAGCTCATTTGATAATTCGAAACTTTGTTTTTCTCGTTTCATTGTGTCGCCAGTGTTCTTCACTCGATATAATCATCTATGTCAAACTAGAAGACTTGTCCACAACCAACCCACCAGGAAGAGAAAAAAGAGACAAAGAAGGAAAAAAAACATAATTAGTTCGATAATATGATACTGACAGGTTGTAAAGAACACTAAAATTAATTACGGAGAGAGAGACATCGGAAGACGGGAAAAACGGAAAAAAAGAAGAAGAACAACACCGGAACTCAAGGTAATGGAACAAAAAATACAGGTCAATATTTGAGGGGGTTTAGAAATTGGGACCAAAAACGAACCGAAAAAACACAAAAAACATGAATGAAAACGGACGAAAATAGGGCAAAAACTTTTCTTACGTTAAGAGCTTCAAAATGAGTATAAACACGACTATGTTCTTTCAAAGTTGAAATTTGACATTAAAGGCGCATAGCCGGGTCCCAAAATTGAAATTCCAGGAAAGTGGGCCTTGATTATACTCATTTCACAGCTCTCAATGCGATGAATTTGAAAATCTATTAGGTTGGCGGGAAAGTCTTTGTCACTCTGTTTGTTTAATCACTGTTCTCGTATATGGAGGCTGTGTATGATATCGACTCTAGTGAATAACAAGGTGATAAGAACCTTCCATATAAACAAGTCCCCATTTCCTTCCCTGCTCCTCATCTGTAATTGAAACGATATGTTTGTTCCCACTGCTATTCACATCAGACATGTTTTGATTTACCTCTTCCTATCTCACACCACGATGAAGGATTCGGAAACTTTCTTGAAGAATGTGTACAACACACATGCCCCTCACTACAATACTATTCGCAATTGGTTCCATCGTTTCGAAAAAGATGACTTCTCGCTCGATGAAAAGGATCGCTCTGGGAGACCCCGTGAGTTGGATTTGGACAAGCTGAAGCACGCATTGCAATCGGATCCATTTCAATCTAGCCGTGAACTAGCTGTCACATTCGGAGTTCACCATAGCACAGTCCTTGAAGGTTTGAAGTCTCTTGGAATGAGAAAACTTTTTGGTCGATTCATACCTCATCACCTGACTCAAGCCAACCTTGACCGCCGAGTCGACGATTCGATTACTCTTCTCACTCTCCACGCGGGCGATCGATGGCTGGACCGGCTAATAACCGGAGATGAGAAGTGGGTCTTCTACGATAATCACCACAGGAAATCCCAGTGGGTTGGAGAAGGAGAGAGCCCACAGGATGTCCCCAAACCCGACCTTCATCCGAAAAAAGTTATGCTCTCTGTGTGGTGGGGAGTGGACGGCCCCATCTACTGGGAACTTCTGCCCGAGGGCAAAACAATAACTGGAGACCTCTACACTACTCAACTACGAAACCTCAAGAAAGCAGTCGACCGTTCGGCCCTGAAAGACAAGAAAGTGTACTATCAACATGATAACGCTCGCCCACATGTTTCGAAACAAGTGAAGCAGGAGCTGATGGGATATGGATGGAATGTTCTCCCTCACCCCCCGTATTCTCCTGATCTTGCTCCTTCCGACTATTGGTTATTTGGCGATATGACACGTGCCTTCGAAGGAAGAAGCTTCAATTCCCGTGGAGCGGTCGAAGCGGCACTCAAACAATACTTTGCCTCACGCCCGGCTGGATTCTACCGCAATGGAATCCATAAATTGAGGGAACGTTGGAGACATGTTGTTGATAATGATGGACAATATAATTAATTATTCGGTTATTTTTTCTTTGAGAAATAAACTATTGAAAAAGTGACAAAGACTTTCCCGCCAACCTAATAAATACCACATCAGTCTAGCTCAAGAGGCGGCCGAACGGACTACAAACGGATTACAAACGGGCTAAAACCGGCTCAAAAACTAAAAGACCCTCAACTTTCTTTAAGATCGATATTTTTTGACGAAATTAACTGGATATAATATGAAATTTTAAGAGCTTCAAAATGAATATAAACACGACTATGTTCCTTTAAAGTTGAAATTTGACTTTAAAGGCGCATAACGAGTCCGAAACTTGAAAGTCAAGGAAAGTAGGTCATGATTATACTCATTTTAAATCTCTTGATGTGGAAATTTTGGAAATCTTAATATGAGAGCAAGATATGCTAGCTGTCGGTCGAACGGACCATAGACGGACCAAGAACGGACCAAGAACGGGCCAAAAATAGGAAAACCCATAACTTCTTTCAGAATGACTATTTTTATAACATTTTCAAATCCCCGCGTTAAGAGCTTCAAAATGAGTATAAACAAGACTATGTTCCTTTGAAATTGAAAAGTGACATTAAAGGCGCACGAGGGGTCCCAAATTTGAAAATCAAGAAAAGTAGGTCATGATTATACTCATTTTGAAGCTCTCAACGCTTGGAGTTCAAATATTTAAGTATGAAAAAAGTCAAGCTCAGCTGCCGGCCGAACGGACTACAAACGGACCACAAACGGGTCAAAAACGGAGAAATTCGTGACTGCTTACAGAATCAATATTTTTAGACTAAATGAAATGGATATGATAGAAAAACTCAAGAATTATTTGTCATTATTTGGGATACTGTATCTTGTCAATGAACAAAAGTTACATGTATTTCTGTGCCCCTTCCAGATATACCGCCACCCATTTCCCTTCGCTTTCAGCGCAAGCTCAATTATCTGGGTTCCTATGAGAGATATCAAAATTTTGAAAACTGTTAAAATGTTTGTCATAATATCTTCAACATTTTATCAATAGACATATTTTTGGTATCTTTTACCGTAATCGGGATAATTGAGCTCAAGTAAAGGGGATACAGATTTTTCAAAATTTCCGGATATCTAACATTTTGACACTTTATTGAACCAAAGAAAAAAATTTCAGAAAAATTGGAAAAGTGAATTTTGTAAATTTCAAAAAAAAATCTTCTTTTTTTTTGAATTATTCAAAAACAATGAGATTCAGATTAAAAGAATGAAAGTAAACATTTTGATACCGAGTTGTTTTTGTAAAGTTTTCAAAATTTTCAGAAAAAGTGGGCGGGGCTTGAAAAGGAGGGAAAAAAAGCTACGGTAGGGGAAGGAGATGAACACGTGGAATGGAGAGAAACAGAGAGAAAGAAGGAGACGCAAAGTACAGTATGCACAAAAAAAATGGTAGAATTGAGTGGGCGGGGTGAGACAGCTCTATTTGCAAAATGTACAGCAAAAGAAGTGGGCGGGGGCCAATGAACTGATAACTTCAACCAACGAAAAGTGTGGGAAATCTTGGGTAGAAGTGAGAGTATGTGGTCCGAAAAGCTCAAAATTCGCACCCCGCGCTTTTTTGTTCGGCGGAGCGCGTTTGCGCGGCGCCGAAATTTGCTTTTTGCGAAAATTTTGAAGTTTCTGCAGTTTTTCATCGATTTTCGCCTTTTTTTCGGAATTTTTTGTGATTTTAGTTAATTTTTTAGATACAAGAACACATTTTTAGTCTAGAACCGGCCATTTTTTTTTACGAAAATCGATAAAAAATTTTCGAAAAAAAAATTTTTTTTTTGCGAATTTTTTTTCGATTTTTAAAGGAATTTCAGACTGTTTCTAGGCTTGAAATGTATGTTTCAACTTTTGAATAAATCAAAATTGCGAAAAATTCCGAAAAATTGCTGAAACTTCAAAATTTGCAAAAAAAAATTTTTTTCAGAAATCGATTTTTTCCGAAATTTCTGACTATTTTTAACTCAAAATGTATGTTTTACCTTTGAAAAAAAATTAAAAAGCAGGAAACTCCGGAAAAAAACGATAAAATTCGCGAAAATTCGATTTTTAAATTTCAGCGCCGCGCAAACGCGCTCCGCCGAACTAAAAGCGCACGGTGGGGATTTTGAACTGTATTTTCAAGAAACAAAAAAGATTTTTCTCAAAATTCGAAAAACAAAATTGCGGACTATTTTTAATGCTTGGCGCCAGAGGATGTAGATGGTGAGGAGGAAGTGATTTGATGAAGTGATTGCATATTATGGGCGGTCAGTGACGAGAGGATCGTCGAATCGACGGGCTCCAGACACGACGGACACGTGAACGACTTCAGAAGCCACTCGTCGACGCATTCTTGATGAAATGAGTGCATACATGGAAGGAAACGAATACGCTCGCCGGGCTCGAAGTCAATCATGCAGATTGCGCATCTGGAAGAAGTTATAGACTTTTGGAAACTTTATTTTTTCCAAAATTCCTGATTTTGAAAACTCTGAACCACTCTGAAAATCATAAAATTTCGAAAATTCGATATTTTTGAAATTTGGATTTTCTCAAGAATTTGGAATTTTCTGGAGTTTCGAAAATCTGTTTTTTTATTTTAGGATTTTAGGATTTTTTTTTTCGAAATCAAATCTGAAAATTCCTAATTTGAGAATCTTGAAAATTCAAAAAATGCGATTTCTGATATTTCGAATTTCGAAATATGGGATTTCTCTCGGAATTTCAAAGTTTCCAAAAATTTTGGATTTTTTGAAACTTTCTTCAGTATCAATATTTTCTGACAAAATGAAATGGATGTGACAGAAAAACTCAAGAGCTTCAAAATGAATATAAACACGACTATGTTCCTTTAAAGTTGAAATTTGACTTTAAAGGCGCATAACGAGTCCGAAACTTGAAAGTCAAGGAAAGTAGGTCATGATTATACTCATTTTAAATCTCTTGATGTGGAAATTTTGGAAATTTTAATATGAGAGCAAGATATGCTAGCTGTCGGTCGAACGGACCATAGACGGACCAAGAACGGACCAAGAACGGGCCAAAAATAGGAAAACCCATAACTTCTTTCAGAATGACTATTTTTATAACATTTTAAAATCCCCGCGTTAAGAGCTTCAAAATGAGTATAAACAAGACTATGTTCCTTTGAAATTGAAAATTGACATTAAAGGCGCATGAGGGGCCCCAAATTTGAAAGTCAAGGAAAGTAGGCCATGATTATACTCATTTTGAAGCTCTCAACGCTCGGAGTTCAAATATTTAAATCTGAAAAAAGTCAACCTTAGCTGCCGGCCGAACGGACTAAAAACGGACCAAAAACAGACCACAAAACATGTCAAAAACGGAGGAACCTATAACTTTTTTTAGAATCAATATGTTTGAACCAAATAAAATAGATATGATAGAAAAATTTAAGAGCTAAAATTCAAGAGCAGTTTTGGATTTTTTGAATTTCGAAATTTTTGTATTTTTCGAACTTTTGATTTTCTCGTTTATTGGAATTTCAAACTCACTCAGTACTTGCCATGTCCCCTCTAAACACATCAGCCGGAATCTGATCCAACAGTCCGCGGATTCGATTTTTCTTCGCCTCGTCAATTTCCTGAAAAATTTCCAAAATGGCCGAACTCTTTTTCTAGGCTACCACTCCACTCACCTTTCCTCGCTCCTCGGCTTGCCGCTGTCTAATTACATTGTGTTGATAGAGTTGATTCACGTACGAACTCTGGAAATTATTTTTTTCAGTTTTCAAGTTAATTGGTTTGCACTAATTACTCCTGATTGTCATATTTGAATTGCCAACGTTAAGAGCTTCAAAATGAGTATAAACACGACTATGTTCCTTTAAAATCAAAATTTGACTTTAAAGGCGCATGAGGGGTCCAAAATTTGAACATCAAGGAAAGTAGTTCATGATTATACTCATTTTGAAGCTCTCAAAACGAGGATTTCAAAAATTATAATATAAAATGATTCTAGCTCGATTGCAGGCCGAACAGACTAAAAACGGACCAAAAACGACCCAAAAACGGGTCAAAAACAGGAGGACCCATAACTTCCTTCAGAATTTTAATTTTTCCATGAAATAAAATGGATATGATAGGAAAATTTGGGAGCTACAAAATGGTTTTAATTACCTATCATCACCATAAAAACGGGCTCTAGCATATCCTAAATACCTGCAAATAGACGAAAAACGGATCAAAAACAGTTCAAAGGCGGGAGGGATCATAACTTTTTTTCAGAATCAATATTTTTAACCAAAATAAATTGAATATGATAGAAAAACTCAATGGCTAAAAAAATTTGAAATACGGTATCTTGTCTATGAACAAAGTTACAGTTTTTTTTCTCGGCCCATCAGTTAATGCCTTTTTTGAAGGTTTCTATTATAGCTTGTAACTTCGTTCATTGACACAATACAGTAACTCAAGTTATATTGTTTTGTATCTCATAATCTGTTCTATTGTATCCATTTTACTTGATTTGCAGATATTGATTCTGTGAAGTGTTATGGGTCTTTTGGTTTTTAACCCGTTTTTGGTCCGTTTCTGGTTCGTTTTCAATTATTTAAAAAAAGGAGGGTATATAACTGTGGACTAGTGATATGACTCAAACCGGGCTTATTTTTGAGTATGTTAATGAGTTCTAATTAACCCTTATAATTACCCTTTAAAAAACAAAACTCACACTTGTCTGCATCATAGCCGGGTTGGTGAAGCTCATCGCGTTTTCTGACGATCGGCTTCTGGAAAAAAGAAATGAATTTGGGTAATTAGGACTGAGTTAATTACCTCCTCATCGGTGTCTCATCGTGTTGTCGCGAGAAACCGAACAATGACGGCAAGCAGTTTCCCATTTCTTTCGTTTTGTGATGATCAACTCTGAAAAGCATTGATTACTTGAATACAGTTAATTAAGGGTAATTAAGTGATTGAATTATACGAAAATTGAAAAGGAAAAAAGAACGAAAAAAGGGGAAAATCAGAGTTTTAAAATGTTCGAATTTCAAAATTTTTGAATTTTTGAATTTCGGATTTTTTTTTTGAATTTCGGAATTTTTGAATTTCGGATTTAGTTTCTTTAGAATTCCATAATTTCAGAATATCATAATCTCAGAATTTCAAAATCTCAGAATTTCACAATCTCAGAATCTCAGAATCTCAGAATTTCAGAATTTCAAAATCTCAGAATTTCAGAATTTCAGAATCTCAGAATCTCAGAATTTCAGAATTTCAGAATTTCAAAATCTCAGAATTCAGAATCTCAGAATCTCAGAATTCCAGAATTTCAGAATTTTAGAATCTCAGAATTTCAGAAATTCCGAATTTCAGAATTTCAGAATTTCAGAATTTCAGAATCTCAAAATCTCAGAATTTCAGAATTTCAAAATCTCAGAATTTCAGAATTTCAGAATCTCAGAATCTCAGAATTTCAGAATCTCAGAATCTCAGAATCTTAGAATCTCAGAATCTTAGAATCTCAGAATCTCAGAATTTCAGAATTTCAAAATCTCAGAATTTCAGAATCTCAGAATTTCAGAATCTCACAAAATTTCAGAATTTCAGAATCTCAAAATCTCAGAATCTCAGAATCGCAGAATTTCAGAATCTCAGAATTTCAAAATCTCAGAATCTCAGAATCTCAGAGTCTCAGAATCTCAGAATTCCAGAATTTCAGAATTTTAGAATCTCAGAATTTCAGAAATTCCGAATTTCAGAATTTCAGAATTTCAGAATCTCAGAATCTCAGAATTTCAGAATTTCGAAATCTCAGAATTTCAGAATTTCAGAATCTCAGAATCTCAGAATCTCAGAATCTTAGAATCTCAGAATCTCAGAATCTTAGAATCTCAGAATCTTAGAATCTCAGAATTTCAGAATCTCAGAATTTCAGAATCTCACAAAATTTCAGAATTTCAGAATCTCAAAATCTCAGAATCTCAGAATCGCAGAATTTCAGAATCTCAGAATTTCGGAAATTCAGAATCTCAGAATCTTAGAATCTCAGAATTTCAGAATCTCAGAATCTCAGAATTTCAGAATCTCAAAATCTCAGAATTTCAGAATCTCAGAATTTCACAATCTCAGAATCTCAGAATCTCAGAATTTCAGAATTTCAAAATCTCAGAATTTCAGAATTTCAGAATCTCAGAATCTCAGAATTTCAGAATTTCAGAATTTCAGAATTTCAAAATCTCAGAATCTCAGAATCTCAGAATCTCAGAATTTCAGAATTTCAGAATTTCAGAATTTCAGAATTTCAGAATTTTAGATTTTGATTGTTCTCAAAATCTATAAATTTAGGTTCCAGATTGCTGGAAAGCTGAATTCAAGAATCAAGGATTTTTGAAAAAAAAACAATAAACAGAAATATTCTCCCCATACGGAAGCACAGTACTCTCTCTCTCTCTCTCAAAACAAATATTTGAACACAAAAAATAGGAAAATGGGCAGATGGTGATGCGGGCAAAACCGGTAGTACACATTCATAAATTGTGTACATACGGTTTTGAGAAGAAAAAAATGAGAGACAGAAGACAAATTGTTTTGGCGGGAAACAAGGAATTTTCAAAAAAAAAATTTTTTTGGCCTGAAAATTGATGTTTTCAACATTAAAAGTCAATTTTCATTATCATTTTAAATTGAAACCTCATTTTTTGATTTTTTTTTCTAGAAAAAAATTTTTTGAAGGTCAAAAAAGAGTAATTAAATAAATAATTAGACACTAATTCGATATGACACCACAATGATTGATAATAGATAAAAGTTGGTGATAAGGGGAGGAGGAAGTTCGCTCTATTGATAACTGATTTTTTTGGGAAATTGAAAAATCAGAAAAAAAATTCCAAAAACAAATTACAGAACTTTTAAAAAATTCGAAAATTCGAAAATCAAGTAAATTCAAAAAAATCCAACAAGTTCAGAATTTTTAAAGTTCCAGGAATATTCAGAAAATCGGGAATTCCGAAATTTGGAACTTCTCCAAAAATTTCAAATTCTTGAAAAATGAGAAAATCTGAACACCAAAAAAACTCGGGAATTCTGAAACTTCAAATTCTAGAAAAATCTGAAAAAATTTTTAAAAAATCCAGAAATTCCTAAGTTTACGAATTTTGGAAAAATTGGAATTTCCAAGAAAAACCAAAAAAAAAGATAGTTTCAAAAAAGTTTAATTGATTCATCTAATTGTGAAATTCTGAAATTCAGAAATTTTGAGATTCTGAATTTCTGAGATTCTGAAATTCTGAGATTCTGAATTTCTGAATTTCTGAGATTTTAAGGTTCTAAGATTCTGAAATTCTGAAATTCCAAAATTCTGAAATTCTGAGATTCTGAGTTTCTGAGATTCTGAAATTCTGAAATTTTGTGAGATTCTGAAATTCTGAAATTCTGAATTTCTGAAATTCTGAAATTCTAAATTTTTGAATTTCTGAAATTCTGAAATTCTAAGATTCTGAGATTCTGAATTTCTGAGATTCTGAAATTCTGAAATTCCGAAATTCTGAATTTCTGAGATTCTGAAATTCCGAAATTCTGAGATTTTAAGATTCTGAAATTCTGGAAAAAACTGTAAACTAAGGAGTAAACTTTAAATTTTAAAATGCTCAAAACATTTTCAAAAATGCCAAATCAAACTTTCAAACTAAATTTTTTTTTCAAAAACCGCTAATTATTTCCAAAAAAATTGTTATTTCAAAAAAAATTGGAATCCTATAATTACCCAAAAAACAACCTGTTATTTAATATGATTCTAAAAATCTGAATTTCTGAAATTTCGGAATCTAAATTTCATCTATTTTCAAATTTTCTACTGTAATTTTCAGGACCCAAAAATCGATCAAAAACCTTTAAAAACCCATAGAAACCCTATAATTACTCGGATACTATGTTATGGACGTGACTTGGCAATGTTTTTACCGGGAAAATCGATCAATCGATAATTGCAATTAGTCAAAAAAGGCCTGAAACCAAAAAATTACAGCACTCTCCAAAAATGTCAAATGAGACACTCTCTGTGAGTAGTGATCGATTGTGTGCGTGTGCGTCACTTTTCTTTTCCCCCTCTCACTCTCTCGCTTCTCGTCTGCGTCATCTCCCGAGAGAACACTCTCTACGCCTTGCCCGTCAGCTGGGACGACGAGAGTGCACACCCGAAGAGACGCAGACGACGAGAGACACACACACACAGAGAGTGGGGAAAACGTCAGATGACTTTTCGGGGGAGAACAAGAACAGAACCTCGTTGCTGTGTGATTTTTGGGCATTCAGGAGGAGGAACCTTGTGCGATGGAGCGCATTTGCTGAGGATGATGGAAAAATAGAACAAAATGAAATAGATGATCCTAAAAGGCTGGAAAACTGAATGGAAACAGGATTTCTGAAAATCTAAGATTCCGAAAAAATCTGAAAATTCAAATAATCTGAAAATCCTTTAAAATTCTAAGAAATTAGAGAATTTAGAGAATCAAAAAAAAATCAAACTGGACAAAAGTGTTAATAATATTTTCAGAATTAGGAATTTTTGATATTTACAAAACATTTTTAAAAAGTATCATTATTTGACAAAACTAAAATTTCCAAACATGTCTGTGAAAAAATGAACCTTCTAGCTCGTCTGGAAGCCGAGATACAGCCATTTGAAGTTCTGGAGAGACGCAGACGACGAAACACGCTGCGTCTCTAACTCTAACTGCCTGCGTCTCTTCAAATCTTTGAATGACTGTACTTCGGCTCCTAGGAGAGCTAGAAAGTTGGTTTTGGAACCAAAATGATCCCTATAAAACCAGAGAAAAATGTGACTTATTGTGAAAATTCGAAAATCTTAAAAATCTAAAAATCCAAAGAATTGAGGAATCCAGGAATCCAAAATTGGACCAAAATCAAAATATTTTTCCATTATTTGACAAAACTGAAAATTCCAAACATGCTTGTGAAGAAATGAACCTTCTAGCTCGTCTGGAAGCCGAGATATAGCCATTTGAAGTTTTGGAGAGACGCAGACGACGAGACACGCTGCGTGTCTAACTCTAACTGTCTACATCTCTTCGAAACTTCAAATGACTGTATCTTGGCTCTCAGGAGAGCTAGAAACATGGTTTTTGGACCAAAAGAAATCCGTAAAAATCCTAAAAACCCTAAAAACTCTGAAAATGTGACCAGAAGTTCAGTGGTTCGGAAATTCAAAAATCTAAACATCCAGGAATCCAGGACTCTAAAAAACTAAGGAATTCAAAAATCCAGAAAAATACGAAAACCTTAAGAATTCTAAAAATCTCTAAAATCTCAAAATCCTGAAAATCCGAAGAATCCACGAATCTAGCGTTCCAGGAATCCTAAAATCCTAAAAACCCTCAAAATCTGAAAATCCTAAAAATCTGAAAATCCAGGAAACCAGGAATCTTTGAAATACTAAAAAAAATTTATTTCAGAGAAGAAACATTTTTCAGACTTCATCACATTTTCAGAATTGGCAATACTTTCCAAAATTTGGCATTTTTTGGGATCTATTTTTTTTCTGAAAAATTAAAATTTTTAATTTTTATGTTGCGGCCCCTTCTCTCCAATTTTTTTCGATTTTTTTCGAAATTTCTCTTTTTTTGGGGACCCTTGCCTGACAACCAGCATCCACCCCTCTTCATCCTCTTTCTTGTTCAATTTTCCATAAACGTCATAGAAATCTAAAACTCACTTACCTCCACAATCCCTAATTATCAGCTTCTTGCTCATTAGACGTTCCCGATGGGGGAGGGAGAGAGCTCCAGCCATTCTATGAGCAATTTGACTTGGCTCGCAGCCTCGCCAGAGTGTGCGCCTTTAAATTTCAGTTTGAGCTTTCACCCAACATCGTGAAAGCTAGTATGCGCTTTTAAACCTCGTCTTACTCATGCGCCTTTAAATCGAATGCATAGAGTTTTACAATCTCTAGGACTCATGCGCCTTTAAATCTAGAATCGGTACCTCTATGCGCTTTTAAAGCTACTGTCATAGTTGACTGAACTAGCGTCTAATTATATCCAGCCAGTGAACACTTGAATGAGAGCAATGTGCATTTAAACGCTTCTCCTTGCCTTCAGCGGGGCTTTACGCCTTTAATGCTGGATTTCTAAGCATCTGATGCTCTGATCATTTGAACTTAGTTCCAGAGCTTGCGCCTTTAAATTTGGCTGATTCACTCTTCCTCTTTTTCTCTTCTGGCTCCTTCCCAGTCGCTCAGCGACGGGTGCCTGGCACCAACTCCGCTCGCGTCTCTCTTTTGCTTTCCCTATAATTAGGAGGCGACTTTGCTATAAAGCCACGCCCACTTTTTGCTTATTCCCCTTCTTTTTCTCCTTTATCATTTTCCCATCTTTCCCGTTTTCCAATCCTGCCAATTTCCAGAACCGCCATGACCAGAACCACCTACGAAGACCCATGGGTCCCGAAGACGACGTCATCGGTCTTTTGCTGTGTAAAGGTTTCAGACGGATCGTTGGAGCCAGCATATGATCCAAAACCTGAGGATGATTCGGTGTTCACTGTCGATCTCGACAAGATGGTTGAGAATCAAGAGGAACGTCTTCACCGCAGCAGAGAATGATGCTTCAGAAGATGCACTCGGAGATGTGCATTCAGAGAGATAAGGTGAGGTGTCTAAATATGAATGTAATTTAGAAAATTTGAAGAAAGTTACAAGAGGTACAAGAATTGGCATGCAATTCGAGAGATAATTCGAAGGTCCGGCTTGGAAGAGCTGTAGCTCACTTCAAATCTAATATTTTGAAAATCGGTTTACACTAAATTGTAGCTTTTGAAAAGTTCTGCAATTATAAAATCAGAAAATTGAAAAATATTTAGTTTAAAGAAAGTTACAAAGGTTACCAATAAACAAGCAATTAGAGTGGTAGTTACAAGCGCCGGCTTGTAAGCCCTGTAGATCAAACAAAGCGAAATTCGTTAATGATGATTTTTACATAGATGTGCAGCTCTACTTAAGCTCTTTTATTTGCAATGTTGAAATGTTAAATATTCTGAGTTTGAAGGAAGTTACAAGGGTTAGCAAGCAACATGCATTAAAGTGAAAATTGCAAGCCTGGCTTATAAGCGCTGCAGCTCCCCTTGAAATTAATGTTTTCAACATAACTTTATGTCGTTTTGTAGCTCTTTTCAAGCACTACAACTTGCAATTTTGAAAAGCCCAAAAATCGTAACTCTCCACAAAATTGCAGGACATCAAATCAATGGTCTCTACATCTGTTCCCTCGTGCTACTTCACTTGCACCAATGAGGCGTGTTTGGAGATGAAGAGACTTCTCAAGCATCAGAAGAAGTGCAGAAAGGGGGATAAGTGTCTAGGTAAAAATGGGGCATAACACCTGGAATTGGAAAAAGAATCTGAATTTTTCCAGTCCAGGACTGCACTGTTCTCCGCGCCAAGGCTAAACACTTCCAGAAGTGTGTTACCCTGAACTGTCAAGGTTGTGGACCGGTTCGTAAGGGATGGACTGAGTTTGAGGGTTTGTTTTCGCATAGTGGCCTAACTTTCGCAAGTTGGGTTTTCTAGGCCACTATCTTTTTTCAACTAGAATTGTTATGATATTCACTTGGTAAGTTTTCTAAATCATTTTAAGGTGGTGGCCTAACTTTTGCAAGTTGGGGTTTCTAGGCCACCACATTTTTGGGCTAGAAATGGCCT